GCTCGAGCGTAACACCAAAAACCTGGGCAACAAGGATATAGACCAAGGCTTAACCCACCTGTTCAACACAAGCCCATAAACATCCTAAAACTCAATCAAGTGGAATAAAAGGACGGTAACAAGATGGATACCACTACCAACTTCACGGAACCGAGTCCGGAATACGACAGAATAGTAAAGGGACAACCGGGATCGCTATATTCTTTGTGTAATGAGCTTAAACTTCAATACCAAATGGAAAAACAGAATCTTACTGGGAAAAAAGAATTAGGTGAATTTTGTGATCAATTTCCTTATGACACCAAAATCCAGTATCCCTCGAAAACCAGGAAGTCTTATCACAAAAAACCTTCCAAACTGTATCATAAATATTATAAAAAATCCAAAAGTGTTCCCTCCTCAACCTCTTACCTGAAAAAGTTTTCTTCTCAAACCCGAAAATCCATCGATAAAAAGTGGACTTCTAAAAAAGATGTTAAATGCTATAAGTGTGGAACAACTGGACATTATGCTAACAGTTGTCGATCTAAATTAAAACAGAAAATTAATGAAATGTCTTTAGATCCTATTATCACTCAATAGCTATTACAGACCTTATCTGAAGAAGAAACATACACTAGCTCTGAGTCAAATGGGCTCGCTGAGCTTCACTCAACATCTGCCTCTAGTAATGAGGAAGAAACCCCAGAACCTAATTGTTCTTGTTCTACAAATCTGAATCAAATTTCTGAAATAAATTAATGGAAATCTATTGTTGAACTAAATGATTTGGACCTTGGGGGTCCTAGTATTCATGTTTTAACTGATGATCAGAAATCTACGCTAGATCTAGCTAAACAAATTAAAGATCCAGAAATAAAGCTGAAATTTTTAGATATTTGTTATCAACAACAAAAGGCTGTTACTAAACCTCCTTTAATTCCTCTTCAATCTTATAGCATGAAGGATGTTTTGAATAGGACGCAGTATTCACCTATAATTGAAAAACCTGTCACCATCCAAGACTTGAAAATGGAAATTAATGTCTTAAAAATAGAAATTAGACACCTTCAACTTGCTAACCAAGCTATATAGGCCGATTTACATCAACTTAAAACAGCTAACCACAAAGGTAAAAGTACTGGTAAAAGTGGTGCTCCAGAAACTCCTGAACAGAAAGATAAACAGTATAGATGCTTGTTAATTAGGTTACATTCCAGGAATGGTATATTCGTATTACTTTTGTTATTCAACCTGATTTTATTATCAAATAAGCAGTAGCCCTTGTTGATAGTGGTGCCGACATGAATTGTATACAGGAAGAATTAATTCCAACCAGATATTTTCAAAAAACTACGGAAAATTTCTTCAATCAATTATTTTATATCTTCTTTTATTCAAAATTTAAAAATAATATACAAAAAAATTTATAACTAAATTAAGGAAAAATTTATTCATAATAACATTTTTTTACTTCTATATAAATACTTAAAAAAGATAGTCAATATAATATTATACCTTTTTAAATCCCATACATGATGTTCCATGCCACTTTCAAAGTGACAAACCTAATAAAGAAAAAATGGATAAATTACAAATACACGCCCTTAGATTTGATTAAAATATGAATCGCCCCCTGTGGTTTTGAAAATTACATTCCGCCCTCCGAGGTTTCTAATTTCATAACAAATCGCCCCTTTTGTGAATAAATCATCAAGTTAATTAACAGTTTTTAATGATGTTAAAAATGTGTTTCAATTAATAATTTAGGTAATTTTATTATTGTATAGGAGAGCAATTATGAATTTCATTTTTTTAGTTAATTCTGTTAAATAAAAAATTCTAATAAGGAGGTATTTATAATTTTTCAAACCACATTAGACAATTTGTATTTTAAACAAATCTCAGAAATGCATTTGTAATTTACCCATAAAAAATTCAAGCATTTCCCCTTATAAAAAGCAAGCTAATTATGATAGAGCATAATCAAATCTTTTACCAAATATATAATTTCTTTCACCAAATATATAATTTCACTTAGGGTTCGGCTTTGGTACTATTGGGCCTATGGAGGCCCATCACAGGTCCCGTTTTAATAATCCAAACGTTCAGTGTGTAGAACTCGTCAAGTACAATATGCTTGTTAAAAATCACGTTGATCGGACATCGATAGCTATGTGATCAAATCAGTTTTCTATAAAAAAATGGATGGTGAACAAATTAACGGTTGGCAAAAAAACGTTTTGATCACATAGCTATCGATATCCGATCACCGTGATTTTTTATAGGCAAATAGTACTACACATTGAACGACGAGTTCTACACATTGAACGGTTCGTATTATCAAAACGGGATTCGTGGTGAGCCCCCACAGCCCAACAGCATGGTCTAGTTCGTTCTTGGACTGGACCAAAGCCAAACCCTTTCACTTATAAAACATATATAATTTCATATAAAAATATACAATAGTCAAGTTAAAACATCATATGAAATTATTCAAAATCACTAAATTTTTGGTTAAAACTGATTGAACTTTTGTGTCAGACCATGCCGCGTTGTCTGTAAATTTTACAAGATAAAAATTGAACATGATGGTGATGATTGGACATTCCACTCTCTTAACTTTCATTTGTTTTATTATTTCTTAATCTTTTACTGATAAATAACAAATTCAACCCTTTTCCCTTATAAAAAGCAAGGTAATTATGACAGAGCAGAATCAAATCTTTCCAAGTATACTGGTAATTCTTTCCTTCTTCTCTCCCCTCTCTCTACTGTCTCAATGAAAATTTAATTTATTCTTCTTCTTCTTCTTCTTCTTCTTCTTCTATACTAACTCATCTCTGTTTTTTCTTGTTCTGGCAAGTTGACATTAATCAAATAATGGCTTCCTACGAAAGAGCAAACATGGGAAGGAGCTTTTTTGGAGGGATCAATGTCGCGTTTGTCAGGTCAAGAAGCTACATCTTGCAACAACAGCTTACGCGACCCACTCACCACCTCCATGCCATTTTCTCCTTTCTTGCTTCCCTACTCCTCAACTTTCTGCAATTTCAGTATCAAGCACAGGTTGTTTCTCC